TGTGCTGGACACAGATGCAGAATTTCTTCTTTCTGTGATAATATCCTTTTGCAATAGTCTAAGAGTTGTGTATTTGTTTTCAATGCATGTATCTTTCAAATAAATGATTTAAATGTATGATGGTTAAAACAATTTATAATAAGAAGAAATGTTTTTAGGTGAAATGTATTTTCATGTTTAAAAAAAGTGACTATACAAACTAGATTTTCTTTTTTCTCATTAATCTGTTCTACATTTTTGTGATAATTTTATAGCTATTGCCTCTCAAAATTCTAATGTTTAAGTTATTCTATAACTATCTGTTATAGAATATATGAGATTAAACTTCACAAGAAGCTCTAGGTGAACACAGCTTAATAATCAGTCTTTTTAAGCCTCTTTTTTATTTTTTTTATTTAAAGAGAAAGAAACAAAAAATACATGGAGATAAAAAAGGGTAGAAATAATACAGAATTACAGAAAAATAAATGGTAAGAAATCGCCAGTTGATAAGTTACATATTGTCATCTTAGAAATAGCTGTTCAGGTTACAAAATTGAAGTATGTAAAATGACATTCAAATAGTGACACTGCCAACAGTTCTGCTCAGTGATCTAACAAAAACTTAGTAATATGGTTATCAGTCCTACACACTTGTTTTATATCTTTTTTTTTTTGTCTTTTTCTTTTTTTATCAGTACCGGGGATCAAACTCAAGACTGCCTGCTTGCAAGGCAGGCACTTATGCCACTGAGCTAAATCTCCAGCCCCTGTTTTATATCTTAAAGAGGATAAGATTAAACATATCAAAACAGAACAACATGGTTTAAAAAAAAAAAAACAATTTTTTTGTGGCTCAACTTTGTCAGAAAGACTTTCTATCACTGACTCCAGTTTCCATGATTTCTCCACTGAAGTGAAACCAGGCAGATTAGGAGGAAAGTTGTACCAGCACCCAGGAACATAACTGCAGATGGTTGATCCCGGCACCTTCAGAAGAGGAAAAATACATTCAGTGAAAAGGGAGGGTACTGTCAGGATCAAACAGCTGTCACTGATGTTAAACCTAACAAAAGCGTAACCAGGCTATATAGGATATGGGGAAAGAAATCTTATGCTGGAGTGCTAAAAGCTAGCACCTTCGCAGTAGGTGAAACTTCGGATCCCTTTGGGCCTTGGCCTCCTCTTGTATTCACTTTTTACAATCTTGAATGGTGTTTTTAAAGCCCAACCACCTGGATCCTTTCATAGATGCTTCAGTTTTCTTTAATGGACTCTGTACACCAAGCCAGCTATAAACAGATTCTGTACAACATTGTGTCTTGAATCCCAAAATACTGGACCAGTTGAGGGGGAAATTCAAGGTGAGATGTTGAAATTATTTTGAAATAAAGCTTAACTTCTTGTCTGTCCTTATACTGATAGTGACAAATGTCATCCACATGTCTTGTGATAAAAATAGCTCCTGAAAAATGATTTTTTAGCTTTTCTCTGGGCCTGCTATGGGGCCAAAGCCTGGCTGAATGTATGTGTCCACATTTGCTGGCACTTGTTCTACCTCCTCTGCCACAGTGTTTCTGTGGGTTCCAAGGGGAAATGCTGCCCTCTGAATTGGGGCAAACATTAAATAAACTCTTTTTTGAATTTTTAAGAGTTTCCTCCTACTCTTTATAGTGAGCACATGAATAACTTCAGATAGTTGAAGTCTAGATTCAAACCACTGGTCAGATTCCCAGTAGCATGGTCACAAAGGGACAAATAAAAACTATGTGACTTCAGTTTACATTTCAGCAGGTCAGCTGGAGCTCTGCCAGCTTTAATTCATGTTCTAGAGTGTGAGAAGTGGGGTGCTCTAGGCAGTTGCACATGTCCACAGACCCAGGGATTGCAGTAGTGAAGTAGGTCAGACGAGGACCTGGGCTCATCCAATACAATGGACCAAAATTCTATCAACATGTTTCAATCAAAATCAACACCAACACCAGCTTCTTGGATGACCTCGATGTCATGCCATCATCAAGGCTTAAAGGGCAAAAGTAGAAAATTGTATGACAGAATAATTCACCTCTCCACATTGAGCAGTACCTCCAATGATATATCAGGATTCAAAAATGGGAGCTCATGAGCCACTCAGGCTGAACACACTGCTTTCCCTGCTCACTAGAAGGTCTCTGCTTCTGCAGAGATATTTAATAACTGTTTCCTTCCCCAGTAGCCTAGTGTTTACCAAATGGGCTCGGTAACCAACTAGATAGGACAGATGCTACATGCAGTGCCTCTCAGCAGAACTAAGCACTTGTTACCTAATGCACTCATCCCAGGAATGACTGCCTTGGATGTGACTGGTGTGGTCTTCGTGGACTCAGTATCAGGTCAGCAGGGAGGAAAATCCTTGAGAGTTAACTGATGCTTTATAAATCTCCTATGTATAATTCTATGCCTACTATTCAGGGCATTGTTTCTTATGCCTTGTGTTCAAGGATGTGGACATTAGAAGGATAAGTTGTTTTGATATCAGTGACTAATTATCATCTGGAACTCAATGTTGCCTGTTGAGAGTTCACCTTTTTCATTTTTTGGTTCATAGAAGTGGTTCATTTTTGCCATTTTTAGTAAGTTTTCCACGGGGCTGCTATTTCTCTTGATTCTTTCAAAGAACCCAGTTTTGAATTCTTTGATTCTTTGTATTTTTGTTACCATTTCATTAATCTTTTCTCCAATCCTTATGACTTAATTCCTTGTGTTAGCTTTGAGGTTGGACTCTTATTTTTTGAGAATCTTGAAGGCAATGAATGTTACTTATTTGAACTCACTCTACTTCTCTAATGTGAACATTCACAGCAGTAAGCTTCCCTCTTAGCACTGTTTTCTTTGTGTCCTGAAGGTTCCAGTATGTTGTACTGGCATTATTATTTCATCCAAGGAATTGTTTATTTGTCCTTAATTTTTTCTCCAATCCAGAGAATGTTCATCCTTGTGTTATTTAATGTCCAGTTGTTTGTAAAATTTCCATGGTTTCTTTTGCGTTTGATTTCTAGTGTCACTGTGCTATGATCTGATAGCATACATGGGTTTGAAGCATGAGGCTGGGGCATGGCAACATTTCTGGGGCCATTGGACACAACATGAACCAAGTGAAAAGACCATTAATCATGGGAATAGTGCAGTAGCTCCTTATCCTGATGAGACCACTCTGAGCCTTGCACCAGTGCCAATCTTCTGACACAATGCACCAAACTTGGACCCGGATACCAATCTTCTTGCATGGCATTAAGTGGAACCACTTAGATCAATTATCAAACAATATTAAAGTATGGTGAAAGTTGACTTTGTAAACACTGACCACTTGTTTCCCTTGTGGTGTGTTCTGCTTGGAGGCCATATCTTCTCTTTTTCATTCAAAGCAAACTTTTATTTTTCTGCACTTCTTTCAGGCATTACTTTTCCCTTTTTCTTATTGTTACCTTACATAAATGGCAATATGTGACATTCACCAATTGTCCTATTCAGTTCATTGGGCAGGACGGCGAGAACCTGGAAAGTTTTGATAGTCCCTGTTACACTCAATGACATACTTGGCATTGTCTAACAGGAGGGCAAGGAGATAAGGCCTTTGCACACAAGTATGTGTCTATCTCTGTGACTGTCTCTCTGGTTTGTCTCTGCCTTTTTCTCTGTCTCTCTGTTTCTCTCTTTGTGCCATTTTTCTCCAAAACAAGGAACTTAAATAGAGGAGGACCAATTTACAGACTGATTTAATTTTCTTTCTCTGTTTTTCTCCTAGTAAGTCCCCAATCCTTTTTCATGTTTTTTTTTATCACTTCTTTTCCAAGACAACCAGGAAGAACCAGAGAGCTCAACGATTAAAAAGAATTAGTGGAGGTTGAGACCCTCTGGTCCTGCCAGCAGCCCCAGGGAAGAGCCTATGGAGTGCACAAATGAAAGCCTGCTCATCTTCAGCAGCAGTGTCTGCAGCTACCCACTCACCTTCAGTCTCAGTACCACAGTGCTGAGCCATGTAAGGGGTGTTCCCTCAATTCCTGCCACAGTACACTTGTGGTGGCAGCTAGAGAGACAAGCCAGGGTTGAGAAATGCTCACTGAGACCCTGTGAGAAGGTTTACAAGGAAAGGGAATCAGGCAAGTGGCTCACAGGTGAGTCAGTCAGGACACCAAAGGTTCAGTGTGTCACTGTGGGGACCATCTTGACCCAGCCACAGGTATCTTGACATGTGAGCAATAGGATCCCTCTTGAGTAGCTCTTACATGTTTTCCTCCACACTTTCCCAATGTACTGTAGATACATACAACCATTAGCACAGCCTATGGGACTTGACTCTCAGATCGCAGCTATATCAGTGCCAGAATGTACCTTCTCTAATTTTTGTTGTGTGGCTGAGGTCAAACAGTGCAGTCAGCCTTGGATGAAGTTGCTGCTGTCCTGCCTGCTGTGTGATCACCTCCCCCTGACCCTGGTGGTGGAATGCACCGGGCTTGCTGCTGCCCTTAACCAGGTCTCTACCCTAGGTTCCCAGTAAAGATTAGAATCTTGATCCTAGGTCGTCTTTGGCCTCATAGCAATTTACACCTATGAAAATTGGTTAATTCACATCCAATTTTCCAAAACAATAAGAAATATTTGTTAAATTAAATCTTCAGAATATAATAGAGGAAGGAGAGGCAGATCTGAGATATCTGTTCTCCAGCCTTCCCTTCCCCAAAGGATGAGGAAAGTGAGGTTCCAAGAGGTGAGTTCTCTTCAGGCCTTGCTGGCTCTCCTCCACACATCACCATCTTCCTTGATGGGTTCCTCAGTACTGGGGGGTTGGCCAAGTGTGAAGAACTCCACCGACTCTACTGCCATCAGTTCCCACCACCCAATACCATCACCACAGTCACCACCAACATCACCACCACCACCACAGCCATCACTATCACCATCATCACCACCACCATCATCATCACCACCATCATCACCACCACCATCATCATCATCATCACCATTAACATGAACTCACTGTCTGACAGAGATAAGCATTTATTGACATGGAAAGAAGGAGATACAGGCCACTAAGTGTAGACTGCTCTGATTTTGGATGTCAGCTTGTGCAAAGGCTGGGTAGCAGAGCCCCATTTATTCTTCTGGTATCCTAAGCAGTTCTAACTGTGGCTGCTTAACTTCTGCTCTTCTGTTTGCACAAACATCCCACTGCTTCTTCCAGCAGCTGCTTCTATAGAGGTCCCCAGGGGATTTTTTAGGACAAAAGAAATTCTTTCCTTCTATATCTCCCACGCTTTAGGTCTTCCTATCCCTTATATCAAGCCCCAGGTCCCTGCCTTCACTTAAACCTACTTCATCTGCACGAACCCCTTCCCGGTTGTGCTCAGTTACAGAAATGCAAAATTCCTTAACATCCAGTTGCATACTATTCATCTCACCATCTTTTCTCCTCTACTGGACTTCCTGTCTTCATCCAGGTGTTTGAAATGCCCATGTGCACTGAGCTCTGCATTGACTGGTGATGGTGTTTTAGGTAGCCTGAAACTATGCAAACTCTCATAGTTCTGGGTAAGCTCCTCCAACTTCCCCTCCAGAACCTGAGCCTTCTGTCGCAGCTCTGCAGCTGATTTTGTCTTTGCTCCCTTGTGCAAATGCATTGAGTCCTTCACAAGGTCGAATACCTCCACCAAAGTGAAAAAGCCTGCAATTGCTGCACTTGTGAGCCGGGCACCTTTGGACATTGCCAGAACGGTGTCTCCAAAGACTTTTTGTACCTGCTTTCCACTTTGGACTGAGATTTTCTCGGTTTTCATGAAGCAGTAGGCATTGTCTAGTAATCGAGGGTTGGATTTGGCCATCTTAAATGCACAGACATTCTTCTTAATGCTTTGGAAAGTTTCCACACACTTCTTGGTTGCAGAACGAACTTTGGGTGTATCCTTTTGCACAGCCCTTAGAACATCGTTCTTTGTGACTACTGTGCTTGACAGCAGGTGCCTGGCTTTAGCTTTTGCAAGAAACTTAGTTGCATGATCCACGATGCTGGCCGAAATACCAGTCACAGTAGCTGCTGCTCCCAGCCCAAGCCCAGTGGCAGATAGCACCAGACTGCCACCTGCTGTCACAGGTGCCAGAGCAATACCAAGGATGGTCAGGATGCCAGACAGGGCACCGCTGGATCTGGCGACCACCTTGGTGATGGTGCAGTCCTTATGCACCTTGTCAATTCTCGCTGCAAGGGCATAGAGCTTGGCTATGTGCTCCTGCATCTTCTTTTTCACAGGGGGAAATGTGTTCAAGAACAACTTCGTCATCTGAATCTTTTCATCACTGTCAGCTTCAAGTTTAATCAGAGCCTCATGCACAGCACCTGCCTCTTCCCTGCAACAGTAAAGGTCAAAGGATGAAGCAAGACAGTTTTTCTGTTTAGAAAATCCACTTCATAAGATCTGTCCTGTCTACATGGCAGAGGTTCATTATAATCAAATGAAAAGAATCAAATGAAAAGATGCATAGAATTTTTCTACCTGATAGAAACATGTCTTGGATATCTTTACTTCAGAAAGGGGTCCTCGAGGGCCGTGGATTTAGCTCAGCTCTTCCAGCACTTTCCTGATAAGCACCAGGATGTGAGTTCAATCTCTGGCGCACACACACACACACACACACACACACACACACACACACACACAACTAGTTACTTCTAGTTACTTCATAAAGAGGTCCTTGATTGCACATCATTTTCAGGTGCTCTTTAATCATGAGTATATGATAAAGCACCATCTCGTGCAAGGTCAATGCCATGAGAGCAAAGTATTTGTGGGGCAAATGCTTTGTAGATAAACACAAAGAAGTGGAACAATATTGGGGAGAGCTTTAGTTCAGAGAAGCTTAATGCATAGTGAGGAGATAGTTTTAACCAAAGGGAAGCCTGCACTTTGCCCCTACTACGATGTGATTTGCAGGTCCCAGGAAGGTACTGATTGCTTGGAGTGTGCACCTATGAGCTGCCACACATCGCATCTGGGAGCATATTGTGTCCTGCAGAAAATGCAAGCTTCATGCTTGAAGCCTGCCAGTTCCAGCTCTCTCTATCCCTTTGTATGACTGATGTTACCCTATGCCTGTCCCTGTGATACACTGTAAGTGTGTAATAAACATTTTTAGTGATTGTGCAAGGACCTCTAGTGAATTGTCACACCTGTCTGTGGTTTGGAGGAGTTCTCAGATTTTGAGTTGGTGTCAAAAGGGTGGTTTTGGAAACTGTGCTTTTGAGCTGTGTGTTTCCATTAACTCTGAGGAATAAGATATAAAAAGAAAACTCTCTGAGGCAAAAGCAATCAGAAAGCCCAGTTGGCCTCCCATGAATGCTATTCTAATGTCTGGTGCCCTTGGCACTTTGAGCCAAAGGTCGATGGATCCAGCTACTGTTAGAACTGACTGCGAAGGAGGAGCTCTGGCCATTGACCCTGCCCAAACCCTCTCTACCTACCTTACAGCTCAGGTGCACCCCTGACCCTATGACCAGGACCTTCCTGTCTGATGTCATGAGCTGAAATGACACCTAAGCCAGTGACACTTCTCCTGAGTTTGTGCAAAGACCACATGCAGAGAATTGGGAGACCATGAGATCCATCTCTGAATCTAGAGGCTGAGAACCCTGAAACTTCACAGGATAGTAGAGAAAGTCCCCTCTGTGCTGAGGAGTCTGTGTTCTCAGACTCTCAAACAATACAAAAGAGGCTGTCCACCATTCTACCCGAGGAATCTGTCACTAAGCCACTGCCTTCCTGATGGTCAGGCCTACTCTGTGAAGAGAAAAGGGTCCCAGATGATAGCAGAGAATCCCTTGGTGACCAACAGGGTGTGAAGGAGTCAACCACCACCACAGGCCTGTGAGCTACCTGGGATGGGTCACAACAAGGACAGGAAAGGAGCCCTCACTAACTCTGAGTCCTCTGCTGGGCCCATGACCTCCCCATGTTCTGAGCCTTCAGCACCTGCCTTCTCTCCCTCTGTCAGTCCTGCACCCCCATCCTTCTTACTGCTCCATCCCAGACCCCATGTACCCCACCCCCAGCCCTGGCTCTGCCCCTGCTGCAGGTTCCTCTGGGAAGGGCGTCTTCCCCCTCTGACTCCCAGCTCATGAGCGTCTAAAATATTCAATTGCTTCTCACATTGAACACATGGCTATTTACATCTCTGAGGCATGAGCCTCAAAGTTTGGAGCTGATGGACAGCCAGGGCCTCATCCAGCTCTCTCCTACTCCATTGTGGCCTCTGCATCCTCGTCCAGCATGGTGGTGCACACCTGCACTCTCAGCACTCAACAGGATGAAGCAGAAGGATGGCCAGCCTGATGCCAACCTGGGCAACATAGATCAAGATCAGCCTGGTCTCCATGAAACACAAGTGACTTTCTCAAAAATACCACAGAGATGAATGTCCTTCTGTGTTTGTACAACTCCTGAGATGCAAAGATAAATGGCTGAGCCGCAAGGCCTAGAAACACAACTCATGAGGTCTACATTTATAGGACTTTCCTCAGGCAAGTCCTTCTTGGCTCCCATGTGCGAGGTGGACCCTTGGCCCTGCTGCTTCCCTCCTGCCCTTGTCACAGTTTCCTTTGCTGGAGCCCCTGCCGTGTGTCAGCCACATGCTAAGCACTTTCACACAGCATCTTATCTTTCCTACAAGGAAACCCAAAGAATGAAGAAACTAAGGCAGGATGTGGTGAAGAGAGGAGCAGAGACCACACCACTCACGCCGGCAGCAGGGATCCTGCCCACTGTGGGTGCCCGGTCCCTTCACCCTGAGGCCATTCACTGCCAGGAGATGACATGGAGAGCATTTCCCTCCGGGATTCTGGAGAAAGGGCACCGTGGACCACAATCACAGAAACAGCCTGGAAGAGCTGGGTCTGCCCCTGAGAACCCCAGCCCAGTGGAGATCTGGGCAGCATTGCCAGGGCTCCCTGTACAGGTGACCTGGTCAGATCAGTTGTCTTCTCCAGTATCATCCAGATGACATTAGCCAGCAGTTGCGGCAGATCTTCACTGCTCACTGTGTCCAGGATATGCTCAGTGACACCCTCCACGAAGCTGTGGCTTTCTGGTTGAGGGAAAAGGAACAGGGTCACATGACAGTGCAGTGCAGGGTAAAGGGCTCTGAGTACAGGCAGTTAATGTTGATCCTAGGAGCTGCTGTCACATGGGACACTTCAGATGGAGAAACCAGTGTCATGGACCAAAATGTGGCCTCAGATTCACATGTTAAACCCCAAGCCCAGGAGCCAAATTTATAGACAGGTCCTTGAAATAAGTCAAATTACAGAGAGAAAATTAGAGGGCCCTGATCTGTACGACTGGTGTCCTCATAAAAGCAAATCAAGCTCTTTCCCTCCCACTCTCGCTCTCTGGCTCTTCTTCTTGACCTCTCCCCATGCACAGAGAAAGGCCACGTGCACACACAGTGAGGCGACTCCCTCTGCAAACAGGAAGAGATCCCTGACTGGAGACCAGCCCTGCCTCCCCTTCATCACAGATTTTGCTTCCCGGACCAGGAGAAAAGAGGCGTCATTTGTTTAGGCTCCCAGCTGTGGAGTCCTGGGATGGTCCCAGGAGGAGACGAACACACCATGAAAGTGCCTCAGCACAGAACTCAGAATGTGCGCCTCGGCCCGGGGAGTGGGAACCTTCCAAACACGGGTTCACCCACCCCTTCCCCTCTGTGTGCCACATGGTGTGTCCCCTCATCTTCCTGGTGTGAGTTTTTACCCCTCTGTGGGTTCTGAAATTCAGTGATTGGGTTAAGAGCAGCCCTTTTAAGAGGAAATCAGACTATCAATATTAGAACACAGTGAACATAGTAAGGGTGTGGATTGCTTTTGTGTGTTGTTATTATGAAGTTACATGAACAGCAGTATCCCGGTCCATGAACTTGATTCTTTACATGCTTCTGGTGATAAACTGAGTTGGATGAGAACCAAATCACATTCAGTGATTAGGTTCAATGTTGACCTTATAAAGAAATTTGATGGAGTACTCAGGGAATTTGGATTACAACAAAGACTGTGGAGAGAATTCAGCTGGTGAACTGAGGTACCACTGTTTATATTATTTACAAAGCATTTATAGTAAATGTACATATATTTAGAGAGCAGGGGAGAGAGAAGAGCCTCTTAGTCTGTGGGACCTAGATACGTTGAGAAATCCAGAACTTTTAATCTTTTAAAAATAATTTTGCAAATGTTTGTTTTAACGAACACATAACAAATTATGTGTATTTATGAAATACAATGTGATAATTCACGGAAATCTGTACTTTATTGCCTCAAACATTTGTCATTTGTTTGAAAGGGAAACATTCAAATTATTTTTGTTATGTGTTTTTATATAGACAGCTAAAAATAATTCTCAATTCTTAGAAAAAAAAAACGCCAAGCACATATGTAGTATACTTCTTGCTAATTGTGATAGAGGCATTAATGTGTTGTCATGGAAGCAAATCAATGCTCACCTTACAGGAGGTAAGCACTGTGAGGGCTGTAAGTGGTCTCAGGGCAGCAGAAGGCAGTGTTACTACCTGAGTCACCAGAAAGAGCCCGCCTGCAGGCCTGGAGGTAATGGAACCACAGGACAGGGACTGGGTACCAGTGCGTGTTTCTGTGTGCTACAGAGACATGACAGGAAATGTGTTCCCACTGCATTTTCATTAGAGAGACATTATTCTTATTTTATAAACAAATCAAGACCCAGTCACGAAAAGTGGCTGCCCAAACAGGAACAAGGAAGGTCATTTAAATCCAAGGTGAACTGGTCAGTTTTTTATAACACTTAGAAACGGGTGTTTTTAAATTTTTCTGTGACTTATGCAATCTACTTTAGAAATTGCTGGCAAAATTTTTAAAGAAAATAAATGTTTGAAACCATGTACTACTGGGTAAAGCTGTGATGAAAACAAGACCTGTTTGCTCTAAGCCTGTCTGAGGAGGGGATTCTTCAGGTTGGTGAGGATGGGTGGGGCTGGACTCTCCACTCCTCCTTGTGATCTGTGAGGAGCCCTGAGAGGCTGCCGCTGTGAAAGCACTGACTCTACCCTGGCCTGCAGATGGCCAGCGGGGAACTACAGCAGGGTGGACACTGGCGTCTGCCTGCGATTCCCATCTGCCTCCTTTGCTCTGAGTCATCTCTCCTGCCTGGGTCAGCAGTTTCTGAGGAGGGGAGAGTGCTCCCCAGGGCAGAGGCACTCCACCACTGCTGTGGGGAAGCCCCGCCTGACCAGTGCTGAGACCATGGCCCACCAGGCTGCATCTACATAGACCACGTGACTGTGCACACTGCTGTCCCCTTGTTTGTAGAATCCAGGAGCTCACGGCAGCACCTCTGAGCATGGGGCTGAGGACTCAGGTCCCCCTGTCTCTCCCTGGAGCTCTACCCTTTCCTGTCCCCTCCCTGCTTTTTACCATTACTTTTATCAGTTGGAGTTTACAGAAGTAGCCAGACCTGATCTGTCCAGAATCCAACCACAAGCTTTTGTCTCTGGAAACAATTTCTTCCGGTCTCAGGAAACACAATTTCTGGTGGCACCTCTGGCCCCGCGCTGGCCTCAACTGTTAAACAAGGAGGGGTTCATCTCGGGAGCCACCAGGCCCAGCCCGCTCCAGGCTTCTCCCTTCCTTGTTCTTCGCCATAGCTCCTGAGAGCACTGTTTGCTCTCCAGGCTGGGGAAGAAGTGAGGAACGGACCTGGTTCTAACGTGCCCAGTGGAGGGGGAAGAAAACAGGACTGAAGGAAGGAGGGGCTACTCGGGGGAGGAGGTTGCTTCCTTGCACCCCAGGTTTTCCTTCCGGGAGAGCTGAATGGAATCAGCTGGGTCTGGAGCAGTCACACCTGCTGAGCTGGTGCCTGTCCCTGGCAGGGCAGGGCAGGTGCTGTACACAGCTCCATGGGTGAAGCAGGAGGTGGGGGAAGGAGGCAAATGAAAGAAATAGGGTCCCAGGAGGGGAGAGACCACGATCAAAGAGCTCTCCCTGCTATACCTGATCCTCACAGGACCCGGAGAGATGCTGTTCTCTGGTGAAAGAGAAGTGGAAGGGCTCCAGGTCACACAGATGGCAGGTGACAAAGGTAACATCCAGGTCCAAGACAGTGACACTATGGCCACTCTTCCTCCTGAGCCACTAAGAGCAGTTGAGCCCCACAGAGCAAGAACTGGAGGGAGCCACCTCCTCATGGGCAGTGCACCAGGGTCAGTGCCTGAGATAGTGTCCCCAAGACAGTTCTGTGCTCACCTGTGACCCTGACTTGGAGCCGGGCTGGGAGGAAGTGAGCAGCTGAGCCCTGTCCCTGAGGAGAGGACTGGGAAGGGAGCCACAGGCTCTGCTCAGAAGATCCACGGGTCCCCCAGGGACGCCTCTTTTCCTTCCTCAACTGCTCTGCACAACGGCTCTTCTGGGGAGCTTCACCTCAGTGGAGGTGAGAGAGGACCCCCCCAGAGAAGAAGAAGCACAGTACCTGGGGAGGGTTTGCTGGCCATGTTAGCAGCAGCCTCAATGACGTCAGCAGTGGTGTCTCTGAGAGGTTTTCTTTAGAGCTCACCAGGGCTCCCAGTCTGCAGAGGGGGAGGAAACAAATCATGAAACCCTACAGGGAGTCCAATGGGGGAGAGGTGGCAAGAGGCAGGTGCTGCAGGCCAGCTCTCCAGGCTGCCCTCCCTGGAGGCAGTAAAGGTCAGACTCTGCCCAAGGTGTGCTCTGCCCAAGGCTCAGGGCTGCTATTTAAAGGAAGGCAGTGGTCCTGCCCAGCTCCCTCTGCCTCACCCCTGCCAGGTAGAGGACCAGGGTTCTGTGATGGAACAGGAGTGCAATGGGGTGAGCACCAGCCCTGTAGAAACCAGGGAGCCCACACACAGAGAGCAGATGGAATCATGCTCTGTGAGGAGCTGGCTGGGAATACCACGCTCACTAAGGATGCTGGGCGGTGTCTACTGAGGTCTGCGAGGTGCAGCACCCTTCCCTGGGGCTCATTCAGTCTCCACACACTCCGTGGGGAAACAGCCATGGCTCCTTTTATAGCTGTGAGAACTGTCAGGAAGGCCAGGTGAGGAGCTGAGATTTCACAGATGTGCAGGGACCAGGGCTTGAACTCAGCACCCTCTGGTCTACCTCCAATGCTTCGATAACCACACTCTACTCCCTTCAGTACACATACTATACACCAGCGCATGCGTGTTTACTGTCAGCGACACGTCTCATTCCAAATCCGTACCTGGTACCCTGTGCCCACCTCCCTGTTTTAGTAATCTCACCTGTGCCCCAGGATGCCTGAGGCCTGCCTGGCCATGCTTCCACACTGCAGCGGCCGCGCAGCGCCCTCTGCTGCCCGGCCCAGATTTTGCACCTCACCTTGTTTCTCATCATTTGTGTGAACAAAGCTCAGAGATTCTCCTGTGTGAACTTTGCCTCCATTACACTCCCTTGCTCTGTGACACCCTCCACCATCTTAAGGTGCCATAGGAAGGGACTCCTCAGTGCCCAGGAGACCACAGCTCCATGCCCTTAGAACCTGCTTCCAGAACCAAGAGGTAATCCCTAAATTTATGAATTATCTGATTTCAGGGATATTTTTATAGCCACAGACCCACTCTGTGTTGGGTACACAGAGCAAGTGTTGGTTTCCTGTTATTTTGGTGTCTTCTCACTACAGATAGGTTTGCTGAGATGGCCATAGATAGCCCTTCACAGTCCACAGCCACAGTGCAGAGCCTGCTTCACTGACCCAATCTGACTTCCCTGAGGACTCAAGCCCTCTCCCACAAGGGCTTCTTTCTAGTGCCCCTTCCTGAGAGCTGTGCACCCTCACCCCATCCTCCTTCCTCAAGGAATGCAGCAAACTCCACCTTTCCACTGACCATGGAGTGCAGCATGTCCTGGGCTGGAGGACAGGGCTTTTGGAGACATGGGTGGTGTCTGCCATGTGAGAAGGAAAGAATAAACCCAGGTGTGAAGGTGTGAAGTGTCCCTGTGAGGTCCACTCGAGATGGGCACAGAGCCAGCAGGTCCTTTTTTCTCACTGGGACACAGCAGGTCTGCTCACATCCGGATATATCCCTCTTGGGTGCTGCTCTTCATTCTGTGACATTGTCTCAGCACCATAAGGCTCCCATGGCCACTGGGTTCCTGGCCACTGACCACAAAGCTTCTCTGTTCCCACATGCCACAGCACATCGGGGTGTCTGCTTCCTAGGGCTTCTGACTGTTTATGGTGATCACGTGACCCAGGCCTGACCAATGAGGCACAAGAGAAGCTCATCAGAGGCATTTCTTGGGATCCTGTTGCTCTAAAGGCCAGGTATGAGATAGTCCACTGCCCCATTCAGCTTCTCCCTGTTTCCAATGCCCCCCAATCCCAGAGACAGCACAGCATTCTGAGGTCAGGAGATCCTGGGACTGTGAGCTGAGTCAGAGACCTGGGCAGGTAGAAAGTCCTGGGGTCTTGGTGACTCCACACATTGTCAGTGAAGGTTCACCTCAGTTGTTGCCCACCCTACTCACTGTTGATCTCACTCTGACTCTCATCTGGAGCCTCAGCCACATGCCAGTGTGGGACACAGTGGGCAAGACACTGTGACTGAGCCTGCAGCAGCTGGAACCCTGCAAAGGCTGAGGGTAGGAGGAGAGGGGAGGTGCTGGGAAGAAGCCCAGGTACCACCTGCCTGGCTCTGTCCTGGCCACAGCCTCCTCCCAGCCAGGGAGCCCTCCCTTCCCTATCAGCTGTGTTCTGGGTTCTCTAAGGGGATGGAACAGAGGTTTCAGTACAGCCTCTTCTCAGTGGTCAGTATGGTCCATCCCCAAGGGAAAGACAGCACACGTCTCCTAAGAATCTTTAACGAGCTACCAAGGTCAAGTTGAAACCCTGAATGTAGCATCCAGGCCCTCCTGCCTGCTACAACTGCTTCTTCCTTACTTCTCCCTGCCCAACTGGCACCTTGGTTCCAAGCCACCTTCTTGGACCATGATGTGCACATTGGATCCGAGGCCATTGCTGGGTTGTGTGTGCCTGGAAATCCTATCCCACCTTCCCCTCCATATCAGGTCCTTCTGCTCCCTGCTGTCTGCCCCAAACCCTCTCAGGCAGCCTTGCAAGAAGGAGACTGCTGGGTCCTTCTACTGGACACCCAGGAGTCTGTGTTTATCCAAGCCAGGGTTCCTGTTGTCATCCCTGCTGCAGTCTCATGAAATCCTAGAAACTTGGCCAGATCAAAAATAGCCAGTGCTGCCCATTGGTGTAGCCATGCACCCCATCTTGGTGTGGGGGAGAGGGTGGAAGGTTCCAGAGTTTTGGAGAATGATCAGCAGTTCCCATCTAGTTTCTAATGTGCCCCAAGTGTGTCCTGGTGACTTAGAGTAAAAGTATGTAAGGGTGTGGGAGTAATGCTCAGAGAGGTTTGGTTTTCAACGCCAAAAAAACAAAGGACATAACTAACAAGCAACCATAAATGAGCAAAGACTAGAGTCCATGTTACAAAGTCACAAAGGTACTGGGGGCACCAGTCTGCAACCTACCACTCTCAGTCCCCAGGTCTGGGCACCAGGCCTGTCCAAGCATACAGAACAGCCTCTGCCTTCTTCTTCCCTCCCCCACAGGCTGAGCTGGGGGACCAGTGAGGGCCCATGGGTTCAAGATGCAATATACGTGCTCAGATACTTGCCCTGGGTCCCAGGAGCTCAGACCTCTCCCAGGACCTTAACTTACCCATAGGACCTGGCACAGAGCAGATATCCAAGGACAGTGTCGGTAAGACAACTGCAGAACCCTTCTGTCTTGGAAGAATCCCTCTGCCCCCGAATATTACAGTAGCAGACCCAGTCTCAGGGTCAAGCCACAAGAACAGGTCAGTCCTCTGCCCTTCTCCACCCCTTTTGGTTCTTCTAAATTTCCAGAGGCAGTGGCCATGACCACAGCACATCTCAGGGTCACATGGCTCTGTCTCCTTCCACCTGAGCTGAGCCCAGGAGAACTGTGTGCCCCATCTGTGTGGTCTTCTCCTCTCTTCAGCTTAAGGTCCAAGGGAGGGGAGCAGTCAGACACACACCTGGGCACAAATCCATCCTCTCCTGCTGCTTCACTGTGGGACCTGGGGCCCAATCCCAAAGCTCACTTCCCCATTTACCAAAGAACCCACCTCTGTCTATGTTGGGACTCACCCCAGCTGTGCTGAACTCTGAAGATCCTATTGCCAGCTGAGGGCTGAGTCATGAGCAGAGATGTCCTCCAGGCAGAGAGACCCAGGATCCCAATAGAAAAACTGAAACAGAATTTCTCAGCAGCTCCTGATTACACAACTCCACATCCTTCCTACGGGCACCACCCTGCTAGCTGAGCCATGGATCTCGCAGGCCTGGTGCAGCCCACCTTGGCTGAGGGGAAAAGACAGGCCACTGACAGAGTGGGGAGATCCTCCAATCACCATGCCCAGCACCCCCAGGAGTATACTAACCTCATCCATTTTGCGCAACTTCTCTTAGCACACCCACTTTCCTGTCCTCTTTTGCATTGCACAGTTCTCACATGCCCTGCACCCTGCTGCATGCTTGGTGGGTGCCTTCTGCAGATATCATGTCTATGGACCAAGAGGAGACACTGAGGATGGCACAGGCACCTTACAAACACTGAACAAGGGGCCCCAGTGCCCATGTGTCTCCCAGGATTTTGCTTTGGTGTGTCTTCCTTCAGAGCACCAGTGCACCCCTGATGTCATGAGCTGTGTCCTCTGAGATGCCTCCAACACCTCTGCCCAGAGTCTAATGTCCTGCTCTGCTTCCAGCCAGTGCCAGTGTTAGACACCTACCAACACTAGGACCGAGCATCTACTAAACAATGGAACAGACTTTTATTCTTGGCTGATAAGTGTGAAACAGACTCAGAAACCATCTTCTCAACCTGATAGGAATGGGGAAGTCATAAGTGTAGGGCTTAGAAAATGAGCAAGGGGAAAGGGAAATCGTTGACTTCTTTTCTGGAGACGGGTGGAGATTGTCTTGGAGTTTGGTACCACCTCTTTTTTTCAAAGAAAGAAAAATTAAGAAAAGAAATAAATTTTTAAAAATGACCCAACTAAGAGCAACAACAGTTATATAGGTTTTCAAAACAAGACAATAGGATTTAGCAATAGTTGTTATATTTCATATTTCTATCTTCAAAATAGTTGCTGAGGTTACCATATACAGGAACAGAACAAAATAGCAAAAGGGAACAAAACATTGGATATCAAAAATAAGACATGTATTTTTTGTTTTTTGTGTTTTTAGGGCAGAATATAGCTAGACATGATGGTGCACTCCTGTAATCCCAGCACTTTAGAGACTGAGGCAGGAGAACCATTTGTGAGTATGAGACCAGCCTGGCCTACAAAGTAAGCCCAAGGTTAGCCTGAACTGCATAGTGAGATCCTGTCTCAAAAAGACAAAAAAGAAAGAAAGAAAGGAAGAAGAGCAGAATATATTTATTGAGAGAAAGAAAGCTTTGGTCTGGGAGAGAGACAGAAAGAGTCCTGAGTGGGTTGCCAAAGACTCTGTCTTTTCTAGGGACTTTAATAGAGTAAAACCACAAAGTGAAACAGATCCAAGATGTGGAAAATTGAGAACTCACAAGGTAGAGAGGCACAAGGTGGGACAGAACTATGGTCAATCAATAAGATTATTCAGGTAAAATTCACTAAATCAAGGACAAATGGGGATAGCAAGTGGGCAATCTTATGGAGCAGTGACTTCCTGTAGGGGGTTGGGATGGTGGCTCCTGGCTTCCTCAAGGTGATCCATATATATTTAGAATATTAATACTTGGTGTTTATACTTAGGGTGTGGTTGCATTTGTTTTGCCTTTTGTTTTGAGATAAGTGTCTGTCTCCTCCAAGGTCACAAGACATCTGCTTCTGTGTGCCAGGTCCCTTTAGGGCCTAGACCTGGTTGCCTGTCTATAATATTTCCATCTAACTCTGCTGCGTACAACTTTCCCCCCTCTGAAGATGTAACCCAAACTGCCATGAGGGAGTAATGGGCAATGACTGTTGTGCCTCCTTCAGGCTGAAGGAGGTCATAGTTGTTGAAAGGCAGTCAGGGATGCTCTGCAGGGGTAACTAATGGCCATCAGTAGATAGCAGGTATTTTCATCTTGGGTGGGTGTACAGCTTTAAGTCAGGAAAAGGCAAAGTCAAACAAACCAGTTTGCATGAGCTAAGAGGTGAGAATGACAAAATGAAAAAGCAAAATGCAATCCCAAACATCTAGTCCATCTGGAACAAGCATATGAGACACTGAAATAGAGGATACTAAAAGTCGTACACCTGAAATTTCTGAAAAGATAGCAAGTGAAATAAAGAAACAAATCCATGAGGCATTGGAGGAAATCAGATAAGAAAAAATCTCTCACATAAAGACAGAAATGAGAACTTTAATAAAGGAGTTGATCAGCACAGCTAGAGAAGACATAGATTAAAAAAATTATAGGAGCATGGGAAAGTGATGGAAACCTTCAATGAACAATAGAGAAGAGAAATAGAATGTATGTAACAAATTCAAAGAGATATCCAAGAAGTAAAAAATTCTATTGAAACCTGGTGAAACCATTTGAATGAAGCTGAGGATAGAATTTCAGACCATTAGGACAGAATTGCAGCTAGCAATCATGAAAGAATTTCTAAAAATAACAAGGCAGCATCAAATAACAGTTCAATAGCTTCAAGATGATGCAAAGTGAAACAATATAAGATTGACAGGCATCCATGACGATGCAGGGGCCAATACAAATGACATGGAAAATCTATTCAGAGCCTGCCTGGGCCATATTTAGTGACCTTCTTTCAATCCAGGCAACTGGGCTGCCAGTAGGGGTGAGTTCCTGCACAAACAGAACACATAAAGCAGATTCAAAGAGGTATACAGGAAATCAAAAATTCCACTGAAAGTTGTTAAAACTGCCTCAACAAAAAGTGAAGATAGAATTTCAGACTTCAAAGACAAGATTGCAGCTAGTGAACAGGAAAGGAAAAATAACAAGGAAACATCCCCATTATATTGCTTTGAAGTTTTATAATGTTCTCATTCATTAGTTTGGATGGTTTTATTCTGGGTTGTTTGATTTTATTGTCTGTTATGGTATGAACAGGAGAAGAAAACAAGACAGTAGAACAGCTAGTGCTTATTTAATATCATCTTGTTTTGAAGTTTTGTTCTTTTGTCTCCATTAGTTTTATAATGTTGTATCTTATTGGATTTTATTATATGTGATAGTATAAACAAAATTTTTTATGGGCAATGAGAGAATATAGTAACCATTGTTCATTTTCTGTTAGTTGGTTCTGAATATACTGTAATATTTTCATTCTCTTGAATGGTTTTATACTGTCTTGTTATGTTTGATACTATAGTATATGATGGTATAGTATATGATTTGATACTATAGTATACTCAAATATTTCAAGGAAAGAGACACTATAGTAGCTATTGTTATGTCAGATTGTCTTGTGGTGAAACACTATGTTGCTTAAATTGTTCTGTTTTGACCTGATTTGTTATGCCCTCTTTTATCTTTTTTAATTAAAAAATTAAAACATAACAAGGAATCAGGAAATAACAGCTGCAAGCTGATTCAAAGAAAAACAATGTAAGATTGATAGGGATAAACGAAAAACAAGGGGACAACACAAATGATATCAAGAGGCTATTTACAGAAGTAATAGCAGAAAATTTCCCAAACATGAGAATAGAAACTGACATGCAGATTAGTGAACATATAGAACTCGAAATAGCCATAACTAAAATAAAACCACACCCAGATATATAGTAATCACCATCCCAAAAATCCAACATAAGAATAGAATATTAAAAGCTGTTAGAAAAGATAGATCACCTATAAAGGACAACCTATCAGAATCACAGCTGACTTCTCAACACAAACAATGAAGTCAAGAAGAGCATGAAGTGAAGTATTTCACATCCTAAAGAAAAGTGATTTCCAACATAGACTGATGTACCCTGCAACATTGTCCTTCAAAATTGATGGAGAAATAAGATACTTCCATGACAAAGAACAGCTGAAGAACTTCATGATCACCAAGCCAACCTTGCAAAGAATATGGAAAGACAGTCTAGATACACATAGGAGAAAAGCACTAAGCAAGGCAGACAATTAAACAGAATGGAAAGATAAAGATGCAACAGCAGAAACATAAAATGTCAATAATAAACCGATATATAACAGTTATATCCATTAATATAAATGATCTCAATTCAACAATTAAAGGAAATAGACTGGTAGAATGGATCAAGTAACAACATCCAACTATAAGCTGTCTACAAGAAACCCGTCTAACCTAAAAGGAAACTCACAGACTGAAAGTTGAAAGATGGAAAACAATACTTCATGCACCAGGAACCGAAAAAAAGAAAAGCGGACATAGCTATTCTGTTTGCAGACAATGTGAACTTCAAGAATGATCAGAAGAGATAAAGAAGGTCACTAAATACTGGTTAGGGCAAAACTTCAAGAGGAAGAGATTATAATCTTAAATATATATACACCAAATTCCAAAGCATTCAATGATACAAAGAAAGTATTAACAAAAATGAAAAATCAAATTAGCAATAACATAGTTATAACAGGAGACACACCACTGACACCAAGGTACAGATCAACCAGAAAGAAAATCAGCAAAGAAATAACAGAACTGCATCACACCTGTGAACAAATGGACTTGAGAGACATATACAGAGTATTCCATCCAGCAACATCAGAATATACATTCTTCTCAGGAGTATGTGGGACATTCTCTAAAATACATGACATACTAGCCCACAGAACAAATTTAAATAAATGCAAAAAATTGAAATTATCCAATGCATGTTATTAGATCATAGCACCATGAAACGAGAAATTAATGATAAAAGAAACTGCAAAAATCACCAAAACACATGGAAATTGAATAATACACTCTTGAGCAATCAGTGGGTCACAGGGGAAATTAAGGAAGAAATTAAACAATACCTGCAAGCAAACGAATATACAAATACAACTTACCGGAATCTGTGGCATGCAATGAAAGTTGTCCTCAGAGGGAAAATTTATTGCACTGAGTTCCCACATCAGGAAAACAGAACGAGTACAAATAAACAACTCGATGCTACACTTCAAACATCTAGAAAGAGAAGAGCAAGTAAAACCCAAAGCCAAAAGAAGGGAGGAAATTATAAAAATCAGAGCAGAAATCAATGCAATAGAGACT